TATCTTGTATTATTAGATATATTATTATAAAATATGCTTTGGTTAAGGAGTTATTGATACTTCAAGTGCAAAATGATGATATAAAACCATGATAAAAATGCACTTTTAAGTACTAATCAACCTTGTATTTGAGATCAATGGTAGTCATAGCAGCTAGCGTGGCCAAAGCATCCACAAAATGGTTCCCCTCCCTTCCTAGATGAGTGAATTTAATCTCTTTAAATTCCTTTGCTAGTGTGGATAGATATTCTTGGTAGGGCCTTAAATTTTCTTCCTTGGTCTGCCATTCCCTTTTAACCTGACAGATAATCAACATTGAGTCCCCATATATATCTATCTTTTTTATCTTTAGCCCCAATGCCGCTTCTAAACCAAGGATACAAGCTTCATACTCAACTGTATTGTTGGTGCACTCGTAGTGCAGTTTAACTGAAACCGGATATTGTTTCTTATTGGGAGCGATTATTACCGCACCAGCCTCATTACCATATACATTCACTGCCCCATCAAAAAACATGGTCCACCAATCTGTCTTCTCTTCTTCTTTTTCTATTGACAATATATCTTCATCGGGGAAATCAAAATCCAAAGGTTCGTAATCTTCAACAGCATTATCAGCTAGATGGTCTGCGATTGCACTCCCTTTTACAGCTTTCCTGGTCATATACACTATGTCATATTCTGCTAATAAAACCTGCCACCTTGCAATTCGGCTTGAAAGAAAGGGCTTGTTACAAATATACCTCAGAGGATCCACCTTTGAAATTAACCAAGTGGTATAGTATAACATATAATGTCGTAGTCTCTTTGCCGCCCAAACCAGCGCATAACAGAGCCTTTCTATCTCAGTGTATCTAAACTCACATTCGATGAGTTTCTTACTTAAGTAATAAATAACTCTTTCCTTCCTTCTAGTTTCATCATGCTGACCCAATACACATCCCATGGCTACTTCGGTTACCGTTAGATATAATACCAGAGATTTTCCTGATACTAGAGGAACTAGTAAAGATGGATTTTGCAAATAATGTTTGATTTTATTAAATGCTTCCTCACACTCCTCATTCCAAGTTCCAGGATTCTTTTTCCTCAATAGTCGGAATATAGGTTCGCATGTTGTTGTTAGCTGAGTTATAAACCGAGCAATGTAGTTTAACCTTCCCAAGAATCCTCTTACTTCTTTCTCCGTTTTAGGGGACGACATAGCTTGAATGACCCTTATTTTATCTGGATCCACCTCTATACCTCTATCACTTACCATAAATCCTATCAGCTTACCTGATTTAACTCCGAATGAACATTTTGTAGGATTAAGCCTTAATTCATACTTCCTCAACCTCTTAAATAACTTCCTTAAAACTTCAACATGATCCTCTCCCTTTTTAGACTTGGCAATCATATCATCTACATACACCTCAATTTCCTTATGTATCATGTCATGGAATAGAGTCACCATTGCTCTTTGATAGGTTGCTCCTGCATTCTTCAAACCAAAGGGCATGACCTTATAGTAGTATGTCCCCCAAGGTGTGACAAAAGTTGTTTTCGCCTTATCCTCTAGAGCCATTTTTATCTGGTTGTATCCTGAAAAACTATCCATGAAGGAATACATGGAACTTTAGGCAGCGTTGTCCACTAGAACATCTATGTGTGGTAGAGGAAAATCATCCTTGGGGCTAGCTCTATTCAAATTTCAAAAATCCACGCAAACTCTAATCTTCTTTTCTCCTTCTTAGGCACCACAACAATGTTGGATACCCATTGTGGATATCTAACTGCTTCTAGAAAGCCAGCATCCCATTGCTTCTCGAGTCCTGCCTTAACCTTAATCCAAATATCAGGGTGGGCCCTCCTTAGCTTTTTCTTGACTGGTTTACAACCTACTTCCAACGACATCTTATGTACTACAATATTTGTATCCAAACCGGGCATATCTTCATAGGACCAAACAAAGACATCTGAATATTCTTATAATAAGGCGATCATTTTTGTCCTTCGTTAAAAAATAATTAAGGTGCCTATTTTCAACTCTTTCTTGAGTTGATCACTACCTACATTGATGGTTTCAAGTTCCTTTGTGGCAGGCTTCCAAGTCTGTTCCCCTTGTTCCACTAGCCTGGTGAATTCACTGATATTGCTTTCATCCCACTCCTCTTCTTCCATAGCTATCACATGTTCGTTCAAGTTTGACCATTTATTCTTGATGCTAAATGTATGTGATGTTGTAGGAGATCCGCTTTCAGGATTCCTAAAAGCGGAAAGCATTTGGTGTAAATGCATAAAAAAGATAATTTTAAAAAGTGCATGATCTCATTATTAATTTAAGGAAAAGATGGGCTCAATGACAAACACAAAATCTTGCTAACATTATAAGCCTTGACTGTCAACTAGAGAAAATAAAAGCTAACAAAAGCAATGAAAAAAGCATGTTAAGGCAAACAAAGTTGGTTTACATTTTGAAAACTACTAGAGCTTCTTGGGTCACCCAATTCTGAAACTTCTCGCCCTGAGCCAACTTGCGCACAAAGGTCTTGGTAGAGACTTTTTCTAGTGTGTGGATTGTCAGTTGTGGTAGTATTTCATCTCCCTTTTCTGCTACTGTGTTCTTGTCATCCTTTTCCATTTTGTTTTCCTCAAAGGTGTTTATGTTCATATTTGCCAGTTTTTGACCAAGGTTTTCAGCTCCTTTATCATGTTGCATTATATATGCAGCTTTTAGGAATGACACGCTAAGAGGAGGGATTTCTAGCTTTTCTTCTTCAGGCTCCCTTCCTTCAATTCTAGCTATTCTTCTTTCCCTTCTCCGACCAGCAGCCCACCGATGATCCACCTTGTTAGGTTTATACCCTAGCCCAAATCTTTGATTAGCACATGTCATCTTTGCTAGATTAACCCCTTCTGGTACCCCGACAATAAGGTTATATTGAAATGGGATCCCGCATTCCG